CCCGAGGGCCCGCTGTGCCCCGTTCTGTTGCTAGCAATATGGCTGGCTTCTTCTCCACGTCCTCCAAAACCTAACGCATGCCCGGACACTAACCCACGCCAGGAGGGGACAAAGTCACAGTCAGGACGGGCGATGGGGTCTCTTATCAATGGCCAGTCTTGGCAACAGGGTAAGGCGGTGGAGAAACAAAATAAACCTGTGCCTCTGAAAGAAGCCAGCAAGGGTTAGACGACCAGTTTCCCTGGAGCCGTAGTCCTGGTGAGACAGACCAACAGTCACCCAAGTAAGGAGAACATGTACTTCATTTGTCCATCTTGTTTTTTTTTTTTTTTTTTTAATTTTCAGTACCAGGAATTGAACTCAGGACCCTGTACTTGCCAGGCAGGCACTTATGCCACTGAGCTATATCCTCGGCCCTTTTAAAAATTAAAAACGAGGATGGGGATTTAGCTCAGCCGCAAAGCGCCTGCCTGGCAAGCGCTAGGTAGTGAGTTCGGTTCCTGGTACTGGAGAAAAACCAAAAAAAAAAAAAAAAAAAAAAAAAAAAAAAAAATTAAAAACGAAAACAAAACAACAACAAAGACAATAACAAAACACAATAAAAACAATACAGAATTTCAAAACAAACGATAGGAAATTAACAATGGTTGCTGTATTACATATTGTTATCCTCAACATAGTTGCTCAGATCCATCTTGTATTTTAACTGTTCTTTTACAGTTAGTTATCTGCAAAAAAAGTTATCTCAGTTATCTGATAACTGAGAAAAGAATTAGTTATCTCAGTCTCTCAAGTACCAAACCATCAGTGATGAACTCACTCATGAATCACCCTCCTTTACGTGGTACCTAACAGCAGTATTTCTACAGGTTGCCTAGTCAGAACAGATAATGGTCCATCGTCCCTGATGATGAAGAGAGGGAAATTTCACTCCTCTGAAATGTGCCCCAGATAACTGGTATACACGCGGCTCAGTCCCAGTGACAGGATTTTAAGGGTTATTCTCATCTAATTGGAAAACAAGGAAGAAAATTTTGTCTCCTGGGCTGACAAAGCATATGACAGGAAAAGACCTGACTCACAGTCTATCTCCATGGAGGCACAGGTAAACATTTAAAAAATGGAGACATAAGTCACACACCATCAAATTAGATGAACGATTTAAGTTGCACAATGAGGCCCACAAGGAAGAACTGAGAACTGTTTCCTACAGGCCTGGGACCTGCTGCTCTGGAGATCTCTGAATACACAGAGACCTTCAAGAGGGTGAACATCCTGCCCACAACTCACTTTCTGAATTAAGTGGATTCCTGAGCGATCTTGTCACAAGGGTAGATCAGTTTCGTGACCTCTCAAGACTGAATGTACTTCAAGTGTAAAATAATTTACGTGGCTAAATGTTTTCAGCTTTGCATGGGGGCAAACAGGATATATATACAGAATTGGCATAGATGTATTGTCTTCATACAGACAAGGAACCAAAGGAGAGAGTTTTAGCCTGTTGGAGAGGGGACGGCATAAAAAGAAACGCAACACCAGCAGACCATTGTACAATATGCGGAACTGTGTTTCTGTGAACTGTGGCCCACCCAGAACAAACCCATTTCTCCACAACTCTTATTCATGAAACATGGCAGTGGGAAAGAACACAACACTGAGTGTATGAAAATGTTAAGAGAGAATGATACTGTTTCAAGATAGAAAATGATGACAAATGAAAAGCTGTTGGCAGTGTACTGCATTTGTAAAACAAAGTCACCTTGAACCGAGAGACTTGCTTTATCAGTAGCTGTGATAATGAGAGTGATAAAGAACATAAAGATGCTTTTTTTTTTCTTTAGAGTTTATCTTTTCTTAGTCCTCCCTTCCAGGATCACTTCAGTGAGTTTGCAGTTTGGCTTGAAGGTGGAGGAGAATCGGATATGCCCTTTCTCAGTTCTAACTTGAGAGTCAACATTAGCACGTTATGTGATAGATTTTTTGTTTCAAGTTAAGGGTTTTGCTGCTCATAATCAGCCAAAGGAATTGAAAAAGAAGAGGAAAGAGGAGGATGGAGAGGAGGGGGGAGTCACCGGGGGAGGAGAGGGGAGAGGAGGAGAAAGAAGAAAAAGCGCTTTTTGCTCCAGAGCTTCCGACTCACAGTATTCACTTTTGAAATTCCACAGACTCAGAACCAGGAAATAGCAGGGCATATGCCAGGTCAACTGTGTACTTTGAAAATCCTTCTACTGTGTTTTGAGTGGATATCTGGCTTGAAATAACTGCGCCATGACCCACTTCCAAATTGTCTTTTTTGAATCACTTCTGTGTATTCATTCCCACAGAGCACTTGGGTGGACTAAACATTTTTACTCTGTTCTGACCTTTGAATCACCACTGTGCTTCAGCAGTTGATTGGGGTAATCCTTGGGAGATCATGGGCCAGGTGGAAGAGCCTGACACCCTGTGGCTATATTTAGTACTACAGTTGTTTTTTCATCTTGGGGCAGGTATAAGCTCTTCCTGGTAGCTACCCTGGATACAGAAAGGTGGAAAATGTGAATATCCTTTTTTTTTTTTTTTTTTGTCATTTTAAGACAGGGTCTTGCTATGCAGTTCAGGCTGGCCTTGAGCTCACTCTGTAGCCCAGGCTGGTCTTGAACTCGCAACGATCCTCCTGCCTCAGCTTCCCAAGCGCTGGGATTCCAGGCGTGTGCCACCATGCCCGGCTTATAGGCTTTTTAATGTTTTACATTTTTCCCGTGCTACACCTGTCTTTTAGTATCTCCCCTGAGTCATCTTTTCTGATCAAAGAGCAGAAGATGTGCTCAGAGCCTCTACAGTATTTGATAAGCAAGAGTTTCTCTCCACCACCACTGGCTGGGGTGTGTTAGTTGTGGCATCCCGTGCACTACAGAGCCAGTGTGTTACTTTTCCAAGTTAAATGCTGAGGAACTGGGAGACAGTGTTGGAATGAAATGAATACATCACAACACCAGGAGAGTGTTCCAGTCTTTGTTCCGTCACAGCCCGTATCCCTGAGGAAAGTCACTACCATGCCTGGGTTTCATTCTTATGACGTTAAGAGGATGGGCCAGCTCATTGCCAAGGTCTCCGCTGCCTTCAGATACCCATGAGCTGCCCATGGGTTGTCTCCTAGGCCCCTAGCACACCTCCTGGCCAGCTTTGTTTAGAGGACTCATCATGGCTCCTGGCCCCCAGAGGACTCTTAGGTAGGTCAGCCAACCATATTTACTCCTTTTTGATGGCCTGTCTTTTGGAGCTAAGATTTGTGTCAGTCTGTGGGAGCGCACTGATCTCTTTGGTTCGTTTGATATCCATCAAACCATGGACGACAGTGGCCTAAACTGTGAGAAAATGTGTTCACTGATAAACGACGCAAACAACCTGATGTCTCTCAGCGAGTTCACGTCTTGCTCTCTTTTGTGTATTCGGATATGAGTACAGGTGCTCTGGTATCATCCATTTGAGTGTGTGTGGTGTGTGTGCGTGTGCATGTGTGCGTGTGTGTGGGGGATTGCACCAGGGTCTTACCTATACTAGCATGTGTTCTGCCACTGAGTTGCACATCCAGCTTTTCTCTGACTTAACTTCCTTCTCTGACCCTTACCTTGGGGCTGCAGTCTTGACCTTGATGGCCACCATCAGGAAGGTGAGGTTTTTCATGCTGGCATTCACAGAACCATAAGTAACATCTAATGTTTCTTTTCCTTTTTCCCCCCTGCTTTTCACTGCTCGGGAGTGAACCCAGGGAGCACTGAGCTACATCACCAGGCCTTTTTTTGTTGTTTTTGAGACAAGGTCTCATTAAGTAGCCAGGGAGGCCTTGAATTTGCAACCCTCCTGCCTCAGCCTCCTGAGTAGCTAGGATTACAGGCATGCACCCCTATGCTGAGCAGCATGTACTTTGAAAGGATATGAAGACATGTGCCCCAATTCCAAGAAGTTTCAATTCCCAAGGGAACACAGCTATCAGCAGAGAGGGGTGTAACCAAATCAGTCTGGGGATGACGGTGCAAACCAAAGGGTGTATATGAGTCATCCAAGGAGGAAGGGCCGAGGAGGCAGCTTAAGGTGGAAGTCATTTTGGCACAATAAGAATGTATCCGGTACGGTATTAATGTTTTAAATAAGGTTTTTTTTTTTTTTTTTTTTCAATTTCAGATGTATAGGAGTTAGAGGGCACTTTGTTCTAACCCCACTTATTTCTAAATTCAATTTTAGATGATGTGATGCCTAGTTTGAGGGGTTGAGGGTCCCAGTGTATACCTGATGTAAGTACCCCTGAGAGTTTGTGGTGGATCCTGGGATTGTTTAGCCAGCCCACGCTGAGCCCATGGGTTCTGCGGGCGTACACCACTGGAGTCCAGGGAAGTGGCGGCCCAAGGGTCCTGACGGTGCTTATCTCTGAGGAGTAGGAAGGCAGGACTGAAGCCTTAAATAGAAGGTAGAATGAACCATTTGGGCTGCTCTTAGTCTAGGTCAGAAGACTGCGGGCATACCATGTCAGGAGGCTACTTTATGCCATTCTGAGTACAATGAAAGCTCTTAACCTATCTTTTCTTGCTATCCTCCACCTTCTCTGTAAAACTTACTGGCAGATACCGCAGGAGGTGAAACGTTCACGACCCCCTTCTCTAGGACTCTTGACTACCTCTGCTATGTCGTCACTACATAAACTGAACCACAGCACAGTAGGGCAAAGACATGAATTTGCACTACCTTTTCCTCCACCCCACTTGAACATGCTGAAAGTCTTCACACTTCATCTACATTTGCCTCTTGCTACATCTCCTGACCACAGATAACTGGGTTCTCTTTGTTACCAGGTTACCTAGCTACCAACTTTTATGTACAATAGCTGTCATCTTCCATCTCTACATCCACAATGGACCCGCAGTGTTAAGTATCTGTGTAGACAGGTTCCCTGTGAGAAAGGGGAATAGACACCCATCCCTAGAAAACGGATCAGTCTGACTCACTGAGGAAAACTGCAAGAGCAACTTTGATAATTTCTTTATTCATAGACATTTCAGAACCATTTAAATCAACAGACAATGAACATTTCTTTAGACATAACATACTGTGTTTATCTTGAGGTACACATTGGGCCCCTTAGATAACGCGCTAGAAAGCAACACAACTGTTAACTTGTAGCTAACAACCCAAGTTTTCCAAGCCAAGAAACTGTAAAGATGGTTACAAAATTCTTCGAAAAGAATACACCATTTCCATGTAAGGAAAACTACTGAAATTCTTGAGTTCAATGTTTAGACTTAGCTGAATCAGTATTTGAAATGGAACTTATGTATGAAAACGGGAGAAAAAGCTTATAGCTAAGAAATGATCTGAGCCTTCCTGCATGAGATTGTAAACAGGGAACGCACAATCTGATAAGCTCTCTTAGAAAACTCATAGCCTAGAGTTTAGAGCAGCAAAACTACAGAAGACATCTGTGTACAGTTTTAACTGAAATCACGTTGACTTCTTGTCCCTGGCTATCACAATGAGACAAATTTGAAAACACCAATGGTGTTTGGAAAGTGAAGGACTCACTATCCATCCGTAGCAGCCCCCCGCACTTCCCAGGGAGGGGAACGGGATGTGCAGGGTGCCGCGCAGTGTGGGCAGAGGTGTTTGTGCGTGTCTGGAGTCAGCTGGGATGGGCTGTCATACTGTTTGCCATAGACTGTTGCATTTCTGTAGGAAACAATGAACACTGCAATTCAGCTGAATGGGCGGTTCGCTACAACTGCGCACACCGAGTGGTGTGGGGGCGCTGAAAGGGTGTAAGTATGCATTTCCCAGTGCAGAAAGTTGAGCAGTTCAACTTCAAGAAGAGCTAACTTGCCGGCGTTTACAAGCGCTTCCAAGATTCTGAGGAGCAACTGATCTGTGTGTTTGAGTTTTCCCTCTGAGTTGGGTCCACTTTGTACATCTGAGCTGCTTGGTCTGGTTTATTGCTGTACTTCTTTCCTGATGGGAGCCATGAAGATGACTTTAGCCACGAATTTATGGACTCAAGCAAAGGTCCCGTTCAGACAGCCCCTTCCCCCCAAGAACCCCAGGCACTCTTCTGATTGCGGGGAACCTGCCAGGAAAGGTGCACTCCTTCCTGACCGAGAGAAGCTTCTGTCTGGGGGGACCGCTCGCTCTCCCGTGAGGTCACAGCCCCGGAGAGGAAGTGCTGTTTGCCTCCTACTCTTGCTCTACACCGCTCGTCGTGATGCTGTGGCTACAGGTGCCTTGACCAGTCAAGTCCCCCACGGGCAGGTGCTCAGCCCAAGAACGGCGACTCGCATTGTTTGTGGCACTTTAGAGATGCCAGAAGGTATGACAATTTTTTAGAAAATACTAGAGTAAAGGGAAAGACGCTTTCTGCCTCAACCTACACCAGGTTCTACTGGCCACGGTGTTTGATACCTCACTGGAGCTGCCCGGCTCGTCTGTGGACGCCTGAGACGGGGCCCGCTTCTCTCCGTAATTCAGCTGCCTGGGAGCCCGTGTCGCTCTCACCCACACGTATGCGGGGTCAGCAGCTGTGAATTTAAACATGAACAACGCGAGTTTGGAGACGGCAGGAGCTGAGCCTTTGGTGAAGACGAGCGCGGCCGACAAAAGGTGCGCAGCGGACATACAATGCACACACGCGTCAAGGCCAGTCTCTGCCTTCAAGGGGTCTCCAGGGCACCGGTCAGTGTAAGCGAGGCATAAATAGGCTGAGACCAACATAAACACATGAGCAAAAAGACAACAACCCTCTTTTGTATGGGGTTTCTGCAAAGGAAAAAAAGATAAAAGGAGTCAGTGCTTACGCAGAACAACCTACCCAGTAACCCGAACCAGCCGGGGTCCTTGCTTCTGAGTTGGAAACTACATCCCAGAGCTGGGTGCTTCAAAACTGAAGGGGCCAGCGCTTGTCACTGCAAATACGCAGCTTTTCAATTGCGCCTCGCCTGTTTTTATTCAAAGAGAAGCTCTGCGGGGATAACTTGCTGAGGCGTTAGGCCCTCTCCCGGGAGCTTCATGGGTGCGGGGGGTATGGGTAGGAGTGCTGGACACATCTTCACAGATCTGTCAGTTCTGAAGAGGCCTCCAGGGGAAAATTTTACCGGGTATTCTTTTCACAAGGAGCATTAGTATTTACATTACGGGATGCAGGTCAGGAACAAAGGGAAAGAAAACCTTTTTGTTTACTTAAAAAGGAGCCCTACACTGGAAAATTCGAACAGGTATCAATTTAATTCAACTCTAAACCATGACATGAATTAAAAACAGCTTTCTAATGCCACGAAATAAAGATGCATTTCACAGGGCCACCAGCCCAGACTGGAGGGTCTCGTCTTTAAATGTTTGTTTTGGTGAGCAGAAAGGGGAGAGCATAAAACGACACAATCCTCGAAGTCATGAGGACACCCTGGGGCTGATCCGCTCCACCCAGGAGGCCACAGTGTGTACGTCAGTCACAGGCGACATGTTCAGAATCTGGGGACAGGCTCAGGGGCTGTTTGGAGGATCCCTTGTTCAGAGGACTAAAACTTTTCTAAGGTTCACAGTCCTTCAAGAAGTCAAGAAGGAGAATGACGGCATTATATTTGGAGTTTCAACTACATTTAGCAAACATTCTCACACTACCATCCTGGGATTCTCACAATATAAGCAGGGATGCATTTTCCTTATGAGAGAGGAAAGAGAAGCTTATGAAATTTAACACGTTCTCTCGATGATATCTTAGGAATTACCCACTGATGGAGCACACCAAGAGAAGGGTGGTGTGTCTGACCTCTGAGTTCTTTTAAAGCAAGAAGCATGTTGGGAACACCTCACACGCGCTGAGGCATCCTCCTCAGTAGCAGACGCCACAGGAGAAGTCCCTCAAGGCTGAGAATGGTCATTCAACATAAACTAATTTCTCCAGATGTTGGCACGGAAACACAAAAACCAACCCTACCATGGGCTTACATCACACGTAATTCTTCAGTTCAGATCTTTAGTGGTTCCTTCCAAGTTTTCAGTGGCGAAGCCTACTAAGCCTGAGCTTCCAAGTTCTCGTTTCTGAGAATCTCTGGAATCGTTCTGTCCACTGTTCCTTAGAGAATCCGCGTAGTTTACGGTCCCAAAACCTCAATGGATATTTGAAAGTGACTATCTAAAATATCAGATTCAAAATTATGTTTAAAACATAATACACAAGTGTGTATTGTGTACATATATACATATATAGATACGCACACGCACACCCCTATATATATATATTTCATTTTTTTTCTCTGCGCAATAAAATCTAGCAGCAGTTAGATCAATTATTGTGGTCATGAATTGTATTACTTCTAAGGAAATCATATATCCTTTATCAACATGACTAGGAAAACGCCTTTTAATAAAAAGATCCCCACCCACCAAGCATATAACATTAAAGTGTCATTTCATATCACTAACATTTTCAGGCACAAAAGTAAAACAGTTAGCATTAAGCAAGCCAAACAACAGAGCACAGAATATAGAGAATTGTCTAACATGAACTCTTCCCGAAGAGGGGAATTGCTCAAAAATGGTTTTTCTTTTCTTTCTTTCTTTTAAAGATTCTGATGTCTTTCGGCTTTGGCTATTTTGTAATAAATATCACACCTTCTCAAATAAACCTAGTGGGGTAAGAATGAGCTCTCTGAATATGCCTGTTTTGTTCTTTAGCAGCTGTTGGGTGTTGAGTGACGTACAAGGCACACCTCTAAGTGTTCTGTACAGTATCTTTATTGATGTACAAAATAGCCTGTTCACCATTCAAAAATGTAATCTGCATAGTAAGAGTTTCTCTTATCCCTATTTACAGAGAAGGTTTTAGTGCAAAAACATGACATTGTGTCCCAGCCCACCCCTTCTAGCACACACATTTATCAGTTTTGTTCCATGCTAGCTGGGTTTATTTGGCTATATTTTGGGCCTCCAGCCATTGATGAATTGCATTATTTTCTTCACCTGAAGTTTGCTTAATTTGAAATCCTCTGAAAGGATTTCTTCTGTTAGTTGAACGAGCAAATTCCCATCAATCTTTTCAGTGACAAAGAAGGATATGACGTCTTCGGACAAACCAATGAACCGTAGTGACTTGGACACTTCTTCTATAGAGAGCCCTGACAGCTCGGCGGGTGGCTGCCACGGGGAGCCGTCCCCGCAGGACCTGGGGGCTAGCTGGAGGTGCAGCGGAGAGGAGAAAGGGTAAGAGATGGAGAAGATGTCCTGCACGCCCTTTTTAACAAAGTACTGGTCCTCGGAGAGGTCCGGTGACCCCGACTTGGGGTCCTCCTCAGCACCATCAATTTTCAGAGGCAAAGGAGATGTTTCTGCAGCCGCTTTCTGTTCCACCGGCTTTGGGGCCCTGGGGGGTAAGGCAGGGCAGGACACGCTCTGCTTGGTCACGCCCGCTGCGAGGGTGCTCTCCTCTGTGCTCTCCAGCGAGTAGCTGGCTGACTTGGGACAACCCAGAGCACCGCTGCTGGCTTCTGCAGTGACTGCGCTGGGGGTGCTGCTCGGGAGCTCGGAGCCATCGAAATCAAAAGGTGCTGGGCAGTTTCTCTTTGGTGTGCCGGGTGTCTTCTGTCTGGGGTAACTGTAACTCCGGCTTGGCTCCAGCAGGAAGTCATTCCTGGTCTGGCTCTCCGACGCTCCCGAGTAATGGTTAGGCCACGAGAGCCGGGAGGACAGGGCTTCCGCAGAGGGACTTCCGAACGGGGACTTCGGCTCCGCGGCGTCGGCTTTCACCCGGTTACACGGATAGCAGGAAACGGGAGCACTTTCGGAAGGGCTCGTGTCACTTTTAGTAGCGCTGCTTAAAAAGCAAACACACAGGAGAGGAAATTAGTGTGTGTGTGTGGGGGACTCCAAGCCACATTCCGCACCCTCTCATTATCCACAATTCTAAGCAGAAAAATACAGCTAGGAAAAAACATATTTCATATCATGATTTCAGTAAAGTACCTGCTAACGTCATTTTTAACTAAGGAATCTAGTAAAATACATTCATAATTACGGAGATTTAAATGATTTAAAATGCTACAGTGGAGATAGAAAAAAATTTTTTTTAAGCTAATAAAGAAATCATTGTCAGTAAGTGTCTGGATTTTTATGATGAGGAAAATTCTCAGACTATGCTTTGGGCTTTGCACCAACAGACACCCGGACCGAGTGGTGAGCGGGTGCCACACACTTGTCATCCGTGCAGGACAACAGCATGACCGGCACGCCGCCCCATGACTCTGTTTCCACCCCAAAGTCTGAGACTCCCAGCCATGCTTTCGGTAAGACGCACGTCCTTGCCTTTGTATCTGTACAACTGAAGTTACACAAGAATTCTGATGGCCAGGGAATACTTCAAAATCCTGCAAAGAGAGCTGCTTTCAGCTTTAAGAGCACACGTGGCACGGGGCATCCCGCTGCACTGTTAAGAGTGACAATGGCACTACAGTGTGCTCAAAGGTGGGTGACCAGGTGACCCGGAAGGAGCAGCGACACCTGCAGCAGCAGCCTACACAAATGAAGTGAGACTTACACTGCTGCAAATTCACGTTTTCAAGGGCTGACCAAAGAGAAGTGGGGTGGATCTATTTTGATTCTCTGGACATAAATAGCTGCAAGTTACACAGAGATAGATTTTAACTTGATGACATGAACGATTTCTTTAAAAACAAACAGTGGCGCGTGCCAACAGCGGAATGGACCACGATGCAGAGGAAGTGAACTCGCAGCGCGGGGAGGGAAGGCTCGGACAGGAGGGATGACTGCCCGCGTGACAGCAATGGCCAAGAGGGCTCCTGACAGGGCAGAAATGCAGCGCCGAGCGCCCGGGGGACCCTTCCTCGCTAGGGCCCGGTGGAAGGTGCCGTCTGCTTATGTCAAAGTCAAGGTGGAAAGAACTAGATGCTGGCTTGTGAGAACAATGGGTCTGGGTCACTGAGTTTCTCACTGACCCCCGAGATACCTTTTCCCCAAGATTCTGGCTTCTCCATCCCAGGTCAAAACCAACAGGAGCTCTATCATACTCTTGCAGCAAAAATGCTTTCGACAGATAAAAGCCATTTCTTCTCCCACTACCCTGCCATGTGGTGTCCCCAAGGCCCAGGAACTGGCTGATGAGATGAGGTGGCGGAGGGCCCTGGCAGGCAGACTTACATGTTGTGCAGCCCTGAAGAATAGTAGGACAAGGTGGGGCTGGGAGAGCGAGTCTGTGGTCGCGCTGGCTTGACTGTGCGAGGAGGGATGGAGGGACTTGTGGACAAAGGCTTTGCGCTTCGGGGCGGAACAGGTGGGGCGTTCAGGAGTCGGCATTCTTCCCTGACCTGGCGCGGAAAAGAACACTCTAGGTTAGCGGCAGACTGACACGGCCCCGGGGCCCAGCTCCATCCTGCAGGGCGGAGTGGCTACTGTTAAAGAAGAGCAGCAGGGTGTGTGCAAGGGGGAGAGAAGACGGGAGCAAACAAGAAGGATGGTAAACATAGAGGCTGCCAGGATCAGAGCAGACGCCTGTCACGTAGCTGCTCGGAACAGACTGATGTTGAAAGAAACCGCTTGGCAAATGCCAGCTGCTTGGAAAGACAGCAAGTAATGCGCAACATGGCAAGTGAAAGTGGGTCTGGGTAGAGAGCCGGTGCAGCCTGAGGGGGAGCAGGCAGAGGTGTGAAGGACATGCGGCGGCAGGATGCTGACAGAGGGTGTACTCTCCTGTTGGGTTCTGTGTATTCACTGCTCTAAAGGGCTGTTTGCCTCACACTGGAAAAGGTAGACTTGCTACCTACCAGGCTCGAAGTTGTTCCTGCAGTTACGTTTGGGGGCTCTCCAACGTAAATGGGAACACAGCTCACCTGGGGACCTGGTTCAAAAGCAGATTCTAATACAGAAGACCCAGAGCAGGGCGGAGAGCCTGCATTTCTCATAGGCACCCAGATGTAAGGGATGCTGCCAGACCAGGGACCACACTCTGAGCAATGTGGCTAAAGAGGCTAGCGAGGCAGCTCTGCTATTCTAAAGTGTGGGCCTTCTAATAAGAGCTGCCTCTGCCTCTCTCTCAGGTTGGCGAGGATCTCAGTGACCCATGATGCGCATGGTCAGCAAGTCTGTCTGTCCTTACCCAAGCTTGCTTTCCAGCCCCTGCAGCCATTTACAAACACAATTCTTACCAAAGCAGTCGGCATTTGGCATGTACTTTCCCATACTAGACAGCAGGGGGCAGTTTATACCCGGTTCTGCTAGTCTACCCTACCCCGCAGAGGCAACAACCAATCCTCACTGTCAAAAATGCTGGCCCCGCCTGCTTCCAGGCCTTATTCTCATCAGATTTTTCACCTCTGCCTTCAACTCCTTTCAGTCCAAGCAGCTGTGGGGCCATAGAGACAAGTGAGCAGCAAGCTCCCGTTAGCTTCGGCGTTGAGTTTGCTGAGGACACAAGTGAATGGGCTCACGTCATTCCATCGCATCTTCCGCCACCTACACCGGCTGCGCCGGGCCTCCAACTGCCGTCCCAGGCCCGACTCACGGGCCAAAGAAAACCAGCCACGAAGGGAAATCCCGTGACCGTGAGCGAATCTGGGTGCTAAGTGCAATGGAAGCTATTTCAAGTCGCATCTGCTGCTCGTCTCCCTGGAACCAGGGATCACCACTCCTATCTGAAGGGCCCACACAGTCCCTAAGCGTTTTTCACCTGCAGAAGCTCTTCAAGCTAAAATAGAGCACCAGAGCTGTAGATTTCTTCCCCAGTAACTGCAGAGAAGATTTGGAAGGCAATGAGATTGAGATGGTGAGAGACGACTGGCCAGCTCTGGCAGCATTTCCGGGTCTTCCTCGGCGATGAGAACCACCCAGAGCACTGGAAGTCTGGCGGGGTCACCCCACTTCTAGGCCGTGTGGGAGCATCTTGTCATCATCTTCCTTCTGTCTGGTTAGAGACCCATATAACAGCTGTTTCTCTTCTTTCTCAGGGACGATCTACAGACTCTAGGGGGATGGGTATAATTTTATCACAGGAGTGCTTGGTTCAGTAATACAGTAACCGCAATCACCGAAGATGTAAGAAGGGGTCAGTTAATTTAATTTAAAAAATGAACAATCACTTCCCAGCGTCGGGCTGCAGTACAGCACCAGGGAAACATGGCTTAATGCTGAATTCAATTTAGAATTTTCTAAAGTTTGGAATTAGTCATTAAATATGACACCTCATTAGGGGCTGTTTACCTGAGATGTCAATTGTAATGTGCTGTGATATCAACTATAACATGCATTTAGTTTGCAATAATTGACTGATCTTAATCTTGCAACTTAGAGAAGAAGCCACTCGCATTTGAGTGTGACCTAAGGGAATAAGGAGTCCTCCCTTCCCGTTCTTATCACCAACCCCAGGCACTCAACGTCACTTACAGCTCTGCCACCACCTTTACAACCGGGTGGTCTCGGAGGACTTCCTACTGGTTTCCCACCGGGTGCAGGGGGTGGGCGGGGAACAGAAGCATCTGTGGGGCCAGGACATGGTGAGGAGGCAGCTATGGCTGAGTGGGGCTGTTTATGGTTAAACTTCCAAACAGAACTTCAGACACAGGCCTTTTGGAGGTGGCCACACAGTTCCTGAAAGGAGTTTGGGTGTAATTTTGAGTTCAAAGTGAAGCAAGTAGGCTTACTTGAAACTCATTTTGGAAAAACAGTACTTTAAAAAAAGACACCTTTTAATGGGGTCCCATCTATGACAAGAATTTCCGGGGTTGTTCTGGTGCAGGCATGAAACGAGCGGCTTATGTTTTTCCAAGAGGTGAGAAGGGAGGCTCTCAGAGGGTGAGCATGGGGGGACGGCCCACAAACACACCAGGCTTCGGTGCTCTGTACTTGGTGCGGCAGACGTGGTTGTTCCAGTGAAGTCATATTTCACACTGTTTTATGGGTAGAATTATGTGCGTTGGTGGGACATACACATTTTGGGATTCAGACATTAGAAACAGTGAGGGTTTACTGTACCATTTTACCTCCTGTCTCTTATACCCTTAGAACAGAAATAATTCTATTTTTCTTTGCTCCTTGATTTGGTTCAACATAGGACATTGAGATCCAAGAGGAAAGCAGCTCTCCTGCAAATGAATTTTATCTGATAATAAAAGGCAATTTACAAGACTGAATGGCCAATCATCCTATTTCCAGTTTTCTCTCATATTCAATTTCACTTTTAAGTGCTACATTTTCAGCACATTCCTACTAAAAGCCTCAGCATGTGGCTTTCATCATGTTACTTTCCATCTCCACGGCCCCCTGCGAGCGCTGGACCAGGGCCAGCCTTGTCCGCCGTTGACCGAGGCCCTCCGCAGTCTGGCTCTGGCCTGTCTTCTAGCTGTTTCTCCCCCTGCTCCTCCATAAGAACATCAGCCCTAAGTGGCATGGTCAGGGTCACCTCCACATACCGCGTGTCCTCCTGCCTCTTTCTCTGCTTCAGTTTCTGAGCCCACCCACCACAGGCCCATTCCCACCGCCCAGCCTCAGCACGCCATGCTGCCGGGCACCATCGCTGCGGCTACCAGGGCGGGTGCTTGCTCTGAACTTCTGAAATGCTGTTACCTTTGCTCACTCCCCAGGCATATTTATTAGCCGAGGGCCTGACATGGTAGGGACTTCTCGCTGTTCTGAGAATGGCAGAGTTTTGGGATCTGCACCTATGGCACAAGCGTGTCATATAGAATGTCAGACAGCAGTTAAGAGATTCACTTGTTCTCCAAAATATATAATGAAAATATTTTTAAACATACACCATGTAGTATCACTTGATGTTGACAAATGGTCTGGACCGGGGGTTGATTTCTGTGACACCTGCGTTCACTGACAACCTTAGAAACAAAAAGAGCCAGCCGACCTGGCCCACAGATCATCGCCAAGTCCATCCCCACCACCACAGTTTGGTACAGCACTACAGTGACAATGACCATGACAGTATTCTTCAACTAGAAAAGTGGCTTTAACTGTCAGCATCTCAGAGAGTAATTACTGTGCCAAAATGATGACTTAATGGACTGCTTTTTTTTTGTTGTTGTTGTTTTTGTTTTTTTTTCTGGTACCAGGAATCGAACTCACGACCTTGTGCTTGCCAGGCAGGTGCTGTGCCGCTGAGCTAAATCCCCAGCCCCTTAATGGACTGTTTTGTGCCTGGTGGACTAGAATGTCAAGTGGTAATGCCTGGAGGGGGAAGGACCTGCATTTTCAGGAGTAACCCTTGAACACCAGTGCTACGCGTGGGGCTGGCATTCTGCGTTGCGGTGGGTGTTGCCATTCATGAGATTGTGGGTGACCTTTGCCCGTCTGCAGGCACTATTTGGCTATGAGTAGCCTGGGTGTTCACTGCAGAGGTCCTGGCGTCAAAGTTCTGTCCAAGACAGGGCAAAGGAACACAAGCCAGATCCAGGAGGCAGCAGGGAGGCTGACTCACAGCTGTACACAGAACCTTGCTTCCTGAGCCATTCCCTGGTCTAAAGCTTTTCTCTGTTGCTGTTATACCTCTAACACACGTTCACCCTTGCTCACTCACAGAAGTCTTTTCCTCTTCTAAAATGTCCATGACTTAATTCCTGACAAACGTATGACACCACTACCCTGGTCTGGATAACATTCTCCTTCGTATTCACATAAAAGGTTATTAACTTAGAGCTAAATATCAACCTGTAGCCACTGTATTATTCCAAATGTAGGAAAGTGTTAAGTGCACTAACAGAAGGGTGTGCAAGAGCTTGTGGAGGCCCCATGGGTTCACTCAAGGAAGCAGGGGAGGAATGAATACACAGGAAACTTTACTGAGAATCCTGACAAAGGTGGGTTATGTAAAAGGTACCGAGGACATGAACAGACAATGGTGCTGGGGTCTGCAAGCTTCGATAATGAGACAAATGCTGATAGCATTCAGCACGCGGAAACTCAGCGCAAGGATTGGGAGGAATGAAGGAGTTCAGTTTTCCAGATACTGTTGGAGCCTGACTTTGTGCCAGGAGGCAGGATCTGGAGTGATGGCAGCACTGAGATCCCAAGGAGAAGTGAAGAAAGTGAGCCTCCAAGGGAGGGCAGAAGAAGAGAAAAAGCAAATGAACGCATGGTACCGCTCACGGAGCAGGGCCATGACCAGACGGAGTAAGGGAGCCAAAGGAGGACTGCAGAACTGGAGTATGAAGATGGAGCCATGTCAGTACTCTACGGAAAGGCTGCAAGAGTTACTCTGCAGTCAACAGGCAGCGGGTCACTGGTAAGCTCAGCAAAGAAGCCTTGAGGCCCAGGTGGGGAGTAGACGGCAGATTCCAGAGCTAAAGCTACAAAGGGAGGTGTGAGC